AAAAAAAAAAAGGTCGAGAAGGGAGAGGGCTGACATGTTGTGGGGTTGTTAACCACTGTCATAAAACAATATGTATACTACTGTTTCATGAGAAACTATTTGTTCTGTAAGCCTTCACCTGAAGTACAATAAAAATTAAAAAAAAACTATGACATTCCTCTTACATGGTGTACCCAGTCATTTATCTTCTGCATAGCATCAATGAATTAATATGTTCTACTCTTTTGTTCTCTTTTCCATCATTTTCTTTAGATTTTCTATTATGTAATTATACTTAAAATACTATTTTTTAATTTAACTTAGAATAATTTGCTTAGGTAAATTGAAGACATAAGTTTTAAAACACTCTGAAATGTTCATTTTAGAAATGAATCTGAAGTTAGAGTTTATAAATCCAGGAAGCCTTTGAATTTTTTTGTGTTACCATTTCAACTTTTCTGTGAAGTATATATTGGAAGCCTATGATTTTGGATTGCCTATAAATCTTACTAAGGTGTGATTCAGAGTTTTAGCAGTATTCCACTATTTCCATGTATGAAATACAATCACACCTTCTTCTAATTTTTTCTTTTTTCTTTTGTGGAGTTAGAAACTGGTATGTAGCGACATATTACAAAGTGACAATTATGCATTAAAATTTGAGAATATGACCACAATAACAAAATCCTCTTATCTATTTTACTGCATGTCATTCAGGGTCCTTCTAAACTTCCTCACCATGGAGGAAGCCTTCACAAATAAGGTATTATGGCCAGTTCAAATCTAATAAGATAGAAGATGAAAAAGATGAAATTCAAAAGGAAAGAATAAGTTTTAATTTATCAAAGGAAAAATTGTTGGGTATTTACATGATATCTGCATACCAGGCAATTAAGTATAACACTGTCCTGTGATCTACAAATCTAGCAAATTCTAGGTCTTTAATCTTCAGTGTGCTAGGAGAAAATAGTCATCACCAATTACCATCTGTATCTAATGTATCTTTTAATTTATATATATATGTAGTTTTGTATGTATGTACGTATACATGTATGTATGTGTGTATACACCTACTCCTTACTTATGACTGTCTTGTTATCCAACATTTAGCACTTATAGCAATAGTAGAAAATCCACTATCTGACTATTTTGCGCATTAAAGATGTATGTCTGGCAGTAATGAATGCTGAGGTGCAAGATGAGAGTACTGCTGGCTGCGATGGTTAAGGTTATTTGTCAGCTTGGCTGGGCCATGATTCTTAGTGGTTTGACAGTTATGTAATGATGTAATTTGGCAGTTATGTAATGATGTAGGCATCCTGCATTTTGTGATCTGATGTGGTCATCCTCCATTTTCACATAACTCTGATTTTTGCATAACAACCTGGTCTTTGGAACTTAACCATGTTGATAACTGAGGAGCAAGTATATAGTATAATTGTATATGTACGTATATAGTCAAATAGTTTGCAGGAGAAAAAAAGGAATAGTGAAAAACAGCTGGAAATTTTAGTAAAAATTTCGGCATAGAGAATTCAAATTTTTAGTGCCTGTTTTCCTGCTTTCAAAAGATATGTAATATACAAAGTGGGAAATGTTCTTTGAATGCACCTAACTGCATATCAGTTTTCATGCATTATTAACCCGGGATAACATATCCAATTTATGAGTGTTGACTCCAGATTTCAAGTACATTTCTAATTGGTTCTAGTGTAGTTATGACATCTAGTTCTTTTTGCTCTTGAATTGTCAAAGTGCAATATTTTTGAAAACTTTAACAGCTTATAATTTTGTTAGAGGATGGCCATGTTCTTTGCTCTATAATTGCAAAACATTTCTTAGTTTTAGATTTATGAACAGCAATTAGAAAGATCAATCCAATAATTTTATATCTACAACATCTATTTCCTTCCAGTCACGTTTGTATAGATACTTGCTTTGAGCATTTATCTACTTACTAACCATGTCACATAAGTTTTGGAGCACAAACATTAAAAAAAAAAAAAAAAAGAAAGAATATTGTCACAATTCATTTTTAAAAAACAGAATGGTTGCGGTTCTTGTTGAAAAATATTGCCTAAAGTCCCTCTTACTGGATGACTAACTGCATGAAAATACCATGTTTTCTTTTGGTCCTTCTTCTCGCTTTGAGAAACTTTTAGAAAATTTTGAAAAAAATTTAAGAAAAATTTGTGTTAGACAGAATTCATTTAGGATATCTTCATCTGAAGACTCATAGTCTGACATTTTTCTTACCCTGTATCAGTATCACCATCATTATTAGAGTCTAGAGTGCTGCTAGCTGTTTCTTTGTATGTACCGTATAATTGTGAAGTATCTTCTAGTCACTTTTCTTCTCTTTGCTTTTATGGATGGTAAATGAAAAATTTGAATTTTTAATTGTGGTCATTGCTAACTAAAACAAGATACCTTTTATATCTTCTTAGAAAAGTGATACAGTATTTTGGACAGTGCTATAAGAAACTCGAAGGATGATGAAATAGTGATAATTTATTTCACTATTGCATCATCCTTCTTGGTCTCTGCTTCCTACTGCAGTAGCCACTAGCAATTTGTGTCTGTTGAACACTTGAAATGTGACAAGTCTAAATTTCAAAGATGTATGCCAAAAAAAAGAATGCAGAATATCCTGTTAATTTTTGTCTTAAATATATGTTGAAGTGGTAATGTTTGGGATATATTGGGTTAAATAAAAAATATATTAATAAAATTAATTTTACCTCTTTTTTATTTTACCTTTTTAATCTTCCTACCAGAAAATCTGATACATGTTTGCTTGCATTTGTGGCTTGCAATATATTTCTCGAGTAGGACTGTTCTAAGCAATTCCATTATTATTATATTTTTGTATTATTTTAGTCTTTTTCAGCATAGTTAGGAATAATTATAAGGTGGCACAATGCTTAAGTGCTTGGCTGTTAATCAAAAGGTTGGTGGTTTGAACCCACCCAGCCACTGCATGGGAGAAAGACTTGGCGATCTGCTACCATAAAAATTAAAGCCAAGAAAACCTTATGGGGCAGTTCTTTTCTGTCACGTGGGGTCACTATGAGTCAGAATCGACTGATGGCACCCAACAGCAACAAAGATGAAATACTTACTAGGATGATAAAATAGTAGAATGTTTCAAGGTATAAGAAAAATAAAATCACTAAGATACCATCATGTATCTTAGATTTATAAATGGGTCCAAAGAACCGACATGGTAATTGCAGCATAAAATGAGTTTTATTCATTTTTTAAGTAAATTCTCTCTCAAAATAAAAGTCACAATACATCATACTTTATGTATAGTTAGAATTGTCCCCCTAAAAAGCTAAAATTGGGTCCAGTGGACCCTGATGGTATATTGACAGTTAAGTATTTTCTCCTTCACAATTTGCCAATTCTGGATTAAGAGCTTTCCTTGACATCATTTTTAGGAACCATTTGAGCCACCTAAATTTGTCTTGGCAGCATGGGGGACTTAGAGGCACTGAAACCTGTTTCATTTTGTGGTACCTGTAATAGTGATAAAGGGCTTAGTCTGAAATCATTTATTAGCCTTAGTATGAAATCATTTATTAGCCTATAGGATGCATGGCATGTCTTACAATATACAAACCGTATGATATGTACTTTTAAGTATCGGGTGAGAATTTATCTGAAATATAAGAATTAAAATTTCATTTGTAATCCAACATCTTTTTTTTCTTGTAGACTTTTGTGAATGATGTAAGGATTCCAGAACAGACTTATATCACCTTGAAACTTGAAGATAAGCTGAGATTCGGATATGATATCCTTATATGATTTTGTACATTTATTAAATATATTAACAAATCTTTACTGTGGTTTAAAAACATTTCTTGAATTCACAATATAAATATGCTAGAAATCTCCATTTATTGGGTGCCTTTCCATATTAACATACATGTTAAAAATTATATTTTATCTTTGGTTACTATGCCTGTTCCCAAAAATAATCCTGGAAAATTGAGGGACTCAGCTTTTTTTTTTTTTTTAACTATATATTTATATCATTTCTACTGAGATCTCCCCACAGTGCTGTTGCATGTGTAATTTGGGTATCAAAAAGTATAACTGGGGAGACAACAGGAGAATGTTTAATTTTAGCCCAGCACAGGGATGGTTTTCAGGTGGATAATGGTGGCACAGATCAGCCTCCTGGGAGAAATGTAATAATTTAAACCTACTTTTCTTCTCATCTCTAGTTTTATTCCGTTTTATGGAATAAAATGGAATCTATATTGCCTGTTGAGTTTTCAAACTTTTCAGTATCCCATGGCTTTTAAGACTGAGGCTCCCTGATTAAGTGCATTATACATTTAGTGTGTATTTAAAATTATTTTGTTTAAAAGTAGGATTCTAAGAACTGAACAGGGATATGTCTCTAGGATTAGGGTAAAGAATTGCTAGTGAACAGATGGAACACAATGGATTGAAGAATAAAAGAATTTCTACTCATGCAAGGCAAAAAGCTTTATCGAAAAGACTTATTTGTGTTTAATTAAAATAAAGATATTCTACATTATGGTGAACGTTTTTCTTAGGTTTTAGTGTTTTGAATTAACTATATGTATGGTGGCACAGTAGTTAAGTGATACAACTGCTAACCAAAAGGTCGGCAGTTCAAATCCACTAGCCGCTCCTTGGAAACCCTACGGGGCAGTTCTCCTCTGTCCTGTAGGGTCGCTGTGAGTTGGAATCGACTCAGTGGCGACAGGTATATGTATGTGAACTTTGATATTAAGACGTTTTAACATTGACAATTTTGATAGACTTCTGTCACTCTAGCAGAAAAAATGTAGTCTCAGCTAAGTAAAGTTGATGCTCAGATAAAGTAAATTTAGTAACATTATTTAAAAATTGTTTTTAGAGCATAACTAGTTTTTATTTTAGGTTATACTTAAAATTTATGAAAAAGTAGTTTTATAGCATATAACCTTTATACTTATAGAGCCAGCCAAAGGAATATACTAAAAATGAAACCATTAAACATTAATAACTTTGAGTTATATACTTTTAAAAATGTGTATTGCATGAAGTGGTTAATAGCATTAAAGCCTTGGTTAATAGGCTTATTAATTATATAATTAATTACATAATTTTCATCAAAAATAAATACAAGTATATTTTGAATTTAAGTACGTCCTTTAATCAACTTGACACCAAAACATGAGAAAATGCATAGTAGGACATTCAAGTTTTGATAAAATTGTATAAAGTTAACTTTGAATTTTAAATCAACAAGAAATTATTGAGAAATAACTCATGCTTTTCAAAATTGTACAGTAATTTCTTAACTGAGAACTAACATTCCTTTCATATATACCAGCTCGTAATATGTCTGACTAAAATTGCTGGGATAAATATTCTCTCCCAAGTGCCCTTTTCAGGATTGTACAGCCAGTGTTGAGCCAGAGCTACTATCCAAATGCCTAGACTAAACTCAGTTTATTTTATTATTTTTAAATAGCATATCATAGTCATGATTTTTGAGCATTATACGTAAATGAACATTGGGCTGTTACAGTCACAGAAATTATATAGGATGAAATTTTAAAAACAGATTTTATATATTACATTTACTTTTTCTATATTTAGCTATCCTGTTAGGTGCTGTTAAGTCGATTTCCGCCTCATAGCAACCCCATCTGACAGAACTGCTGTAGACTGAAGAAATTGTAGTGTTTTGTTTATTAACTTATTAACTCATTTCTCCATTATTTACTTATTGGATTAATCTTGATTGTTAGCCAGTCTACAAACTGCTATACCTTGGAGTGAAAAACTAATTAAAATACCACAACAATATAAAGAACGTTTTACCATGGATTGAGACTAGAACTAGGAAACGAAATTTACATGCCGAAAGTCTTGTTTTATAACTAAAGAAATTAAGTGATGGCTTGCAAAAGCAAGTACTCTGAAATGTCCAAGTTTAAAAGTGGCAGTAAACTTGTGAGGGGTGATAAAATGCTACAGCAATCAAGATAAACTTGAGAAAAGAACTAATAAATCTCCAAGTGGCCAAAAATGTGGCAGATAAGCAAGCCTAAGTTATTTATTAAATGTGTTCTATGTGCCAGGCACAGCCCCAGTGTTCTGAGAATACAGTAATGAATAAAACAGACAAAAAAATCCCTGTCCTTCCTGGAGATTACACTTAATGGATTGGAGAGAGCAGACGGCAAACAACAAAAGTAGGGATATCGGAGGGTGAGAAGTGCTATGGAGAAAAAAGTATGAAAGGGGCGTACAGAGAGCCAGTGGTGGTAAGTGGGAAGTTATAATTTTAAAAAGGCTGGTCATGGAATACCTCACTGAGAAGCCAGCATTGGAGCAAAGATGTGGAAAAAGTGAAGGAGCTAACCATATAGATGATATGAAGAAGCAGCTCTTCAGGTAGATTGAAGAGTAAGTACAAAAGACTTTAAGCAGGAGCCTGTTTGGCATGCTTGAGAAACTATTAAAAGCCAGTATAGCTGGAGCCAGGAAAGAGTGGGATGGAAGGGTACTGGGGACAGAATGTATGAGCTCTGATAGGCTATTATAAGGATTTTTATTTTTATTCTAAGTGAAATGGAGCCATTAGAGGGTTTTGATCAGAGAAGTGATAACAATATGATTTATGTGTTTTTAAAGATTACTCCGTCTATTCTTATTCAAAGAATAGACTGAGGGTAGAGGGCAGGGGTGAAAAGACAGAACAGTTAGGAGGCTATTTTGATAATTCAAGCAAGCAATAATGGAAGTATGGCTCAGGGTGGGAGTAGTGGAGATGGTAAGAAATGATAGAATTCTGGATATATTTTGAAGATGTGGTCAATAAGATTCCCAGATTAGGTTGGATGTAGAGTGTGAAAGAAAGGGGAAGAGTCAAGGCTGAATCTAAGATTTTAGCCTAAGCAATTGGAAAAATGTAGTCAAATGGAGTCCACCATAAAGTGATAAGGAGAAATCTGTGAATGGAGCAGGTTTGGTGGAGAAAATGGGACGACTTCTCAATGAGCTTTTGGCTTCATTGAACTTCTTAAATATTTTTCTATTTCCTGTTTGATTTATGCCATCATTATTATTTACTTTCTTCTACTTTTGGTTTAATTTGCTCTTCTCTACTTTCTTAAGGTAGAAGCTGAAGTCATTCATTTGGACCCTCTTTTCTAATATAGGCATTTAGTTGCTATAAATTTCTCCCTAAGTACTACTTTAGCATCCAAACTATTTTCTAATTTTCCTTTTTTGACTCATAAGTTACTTGTAAGTTTGTTATTTACTTCCACAAGTGTCAGTTAGCCTGAGGTGGCTGATACTGTTGTTCAAATCATTTTTATCCTACTGATATGTTGTGTACTTTAGTAATTATTAGGTATTGAAATCTCATGCAATAATTTTGATTTTATCTGTTTCTCCTTGCAGAAGTTTTTCTTTCATGTAGTTTGAAGCTCTGTTATTAAGTGCATAAACGCTTAGGATTATTGTGTCCTCTTGATTCAGAAGAGGACATAGATCAAGGGATATCATTGCTAATGTCATTGGCTGAAAGAAGAGAATACCAGAGAGATGTTTACCTGTGTTTTATTGACTGCAAAGGCATTCAACTGTGTGGATCATAACAAATTATGGATAATATTGTGAAGAATGGGAATTCCAGAACACTCAATTGTGCTTGTGTGGAACCTGTACATAGACCAAGAGGTAGTTGTTTGAACAGAACAAGGGGATATTGTGTGGTTTAAAACCAGGAAAGGTTTGCGTCAGGGTTGTACCCTTTTACCATACTTATTCAATCTGTATGCTGAGCAAATAATCCAAGAAGCTGGACTGTATGAAGAAGAACGGGACATCAGGATAGGAGGAAGACTCATTAACAATCTGTGATATGCAGATGTCACAACCTTGATTGCTGAAAGCAAAGAGAACTTGAATCATTGATAAAGATCAAAGACTATAGCCTTCAGTATGGATTACACCTCAACATAAGGAAAACAAAAATCCTCACAACCGGACCACCAAGCAACATCATGACAAACAGAAAATATTGAAGTTGTCAAGCATTTCATTTTACTTGGATCTACAATCAATGCCTGCAGAAGCAGCAGTCAAGAAATCAAACGACATACTGCATTGGGCAAATGTGCTGCAAAAACCCTCTTTAAAGTGTTAAAAGGCAAAGATGTCACTTTGAGGATTAAGGTGCATGCCTCATATTCATGTGGAAGCTGGACAATGAATAAGGAAGACCAAAGAAGAACTGAAGCCTTTGAATTATGGTGTTGGCAAAAAATGTTGACTATATCATGGACTGCCAAAAGAACGAACAAATCTGTCTTGGAAGAAGTACAGCCAGAATGGTCCTTAGAAGTGAGGGTGATGAGACTTCTTATTTGTTGGACATGTTATCGGAGGGACCAGTCCCTGGAGAAGGACATCATGCTTGGTAAAGTAGAGGGTCAGCGAAAAAGAGGAAGACCCTCAACAAGATGGATTGATACAGTGGCTGCAACAGTGGGTTCAAATATAGCAATCACTGTGAGGATGGAGCAGGACGAGGCAATGTTTCATGTTGTACGTAGGGTCGTTATGAGTCGGAACCAACTTGACAGCACCTAACAGTAACAACCCTTGTATCATGGGTGCTCTGAATGAGTAAAGAAGTACAGAATTTAGTGCATGGTTATAAAAAGCTCTTTCATTATAGGGTTAAGTAATAGTGGGAAATGTGACCTCTACTGTGTAGTGAATAGGTCCTTTTTAATATAAAGAAGCATTGTTCTTTTTAGTTTAATAATGAAAGCATTCATTATATCTGGCATCTGTATAGGGTCAGTTGTTTGATAATGTAATATGACCCTGATTGCAATTCGTGGTAGAAAGGGATGGTTATGGTTACTATAAGGACCCTAATTATAGCATTTATTTTGCGCTTGCAAAATGAACTTCATTTTTATCAGTGTTTATGAAGTGTGAGTAATCAAATTCCTTTAAGATTTGCTATTGAGTAATCACTGGTGAGGTATTTCCTTTCACATTTTTATGATTAACTATCAATATAATTTGATCCTGGTGCTTTTTCATCATCGTAGTTATTAAAAAATGTGAATGTCTTTTGTAGTCTTACTCATCTAGTTGTTTGCTTTTTGAAAAAGCAACTCATCACATAAGTTTAGAAATACTTGCTGGGTTTTAAGAATATTTAGCATTTCAAAATGAAAAATTTCATGTTTGTAAGCATTTTTTAACATTTTACCATTAAGAAGAGTATAATAATTCTGTTGTAATTACCTGTAAAAAGTACGACAATTTCTAAATTATCTTCGATGATCATTTTAAGATTAATTACCAGAATTTTGAATTACAGTCTTCCTTATCCCTGTTTACATACAAATCTTTTCACTGTAGTACGAGGAGAGATGAGGGTCCCTGAAGAGGCTCTTAAGGTAAAAGTGTTTATTTCTTTCGCAACCCTACCACTTACTAGGGTTGATTTCACTCATGGATATTTCAATTCCATTTTTAAATGTTTTATAGCATGAGAAGTTTACTATTCAGCTTCAGTTGTCCCAAAAATCTTCAGAATTGGAATTATCAAAATCTGCATGTACCAAAAGCATAGACTCAAAGGTAGCGGATGCTGCAACAGAAGTGCAGCACAAAGCTACAGAAGCACTAAAGTCTGAGGAAAAAGCCATGGGTAAGTCAATCTCTCTGTAAATATTGTATTTATAATTGATTGTGAGGAAATTGCATGCTTTGTTTTTAAAAACTTGGCCATGTCTAGTTAGACATTTACTAAATGATTTATAATAATGATGATTTAAGAGTTTTATATGTTTTATCTCTTCATGGATTTTAATGCAGCCAATTCTTTCACTAGAAAGCATAGTAAAATGCATAGTTAATTATATATGGCATTTGTGTGTAGGTGTATTTAATATGTTTAAATATTTGAGGGAAATAAAGTTTACCACATTATATTTTTATTATTTCACATTTGCTATTTCTTCTGAATTGTAACTGAAATTTGACTTTTAAAGGAAAAAAATTAGATACCAATAATGCTACATCATCGTAATTATTATCATCATATTTAGCGTATTCCACACACTGTGAAAAATGCTTTACGTAAATAATTTCATTCAAACAAAAGCAAAATTTTTTTTTAATTGATAGATATTACCAAATTTGCTCAAATAAAAATGTATTAGTCCTGGTAACACTGGCTTAAATCTAGTTACTGTGTAATGCCATGGGACTTTTAAAAAATTAAAAAATGGTTGCTCATGCCAAAATTTAATTTTGCATTTTATATTTAGACTTAATGAGCCATTTCTGACCAGACTGGTTTCATTTTTCCCTAGTTGATTATTACCTAGTTTCTCTAAACTAGTTCTAGTGAGGCCAATTCTTGTCTAAATTTTCAAGTCAAAGACCTTTTGTTAATGCATACTTCAGTTATAGACTAAAGAAACTGTCCACTTTAAGAAAAAACTATTGGGAGATAGCAGGTTGCATTACTTAGATACTTGCTATGTAAATTTTCATTTATTTAGTCATGTCCAGCATTGACAAAGTCTTAGACAATACTATTATTCAACTTAGAGTACTTTTCAGCTATCTAAACTATACTTTGTTTTTTTATTTAATAAAGCAATTCTAGCGTTCTGCGAAAGCGTATTTTTTTCTGTTTCATCTGCTTTAGACAGATTTTTCCCACCTCTTTCCAGATATTTCTGCTATGCCGCGTGGTACTCCATTATATGGGCAGCCATCGTGGTGGGGGGATGATGAGGTGGATGAGCAAAGTGCTCTCAAGTCAGATGGCAAACCTGAAGAGAAAAATCATGAAACTGGAATGTCAGGTAAACGATCTCAATGACTGTGACATTAAATGACATATTGGGAAGAATTTATAGTCTAAGCAAAATCCTTTCTACTTTGAAAAGAGATATCTGCTACTCTATAACTTGATAAAGATAAATGATGTATATTTTAATGATTATGTTATTTTAATTTTAAATTCTTGATTAGGAGTGATTCTCACTTTATAAAGTATTACAGTATCTTTATAACGCACTTTCATTTAAAACATTTTTTCTAGTTTATGAGATTGTTAAAACTTGAAAAATAAATTAATGATATTGTGCATTTATAATATTTTAAAATAATTATTAAAATGTATCAGTGAGACTAAAAATAGTAGGTACAAACTAATTTTGTGTGTTTTCATTGTATTTATAAGCATATATCATGTTTTAAAACAAATAATTTCTACTATGTTCAGAAATATGATGTGAAATTAAAATGTCTTTAAAATCTCAGTGTACAGTGTTGGGATATAGTAACAATAAGATTTAGCTGTGTTTGGCAGTCAGAAAAAAGAAATAGTTCTGGGCCACATTCTCAGATTAATAGTTGGAAATATATTGTTTTGGTGGAGGGGTTTAGTAGTTACCTAAGTGTCCATAAGCCAGAAAATCAAGGTTTCCAGGAAATAAACTGAGGTATCAATTGTCTGTCACATAAGGACCTGGTGAAGACAATAAAAACGAAGGATGAAGCACTCAGTTTCTGTGATAACAGCAGATAAGGATCCAGATCTGGAGAAATTAAGCACAGGCACCAGGCATCAGTATGGAAGACTTAGTCTGAGCTCTTCTCAGTTTTCTACTCGTGACAGTAGTCCTACAGGATCAGTAAGACACTATTCTTAGCTGGAGAATAAGAACACTGGTTCTTTAAATATACTCTAATTATATCAGGATACAAATCTAAGAAAGCTGGCATTATCAGCTTGATCTTACAGTGCCCCATGCTGAGGTCAGCTTTGCAAGTAAATTTCCGTCACAGCTTCTTTTGTGTCACCAACAGTTTTCTTCGTGCCCAATCTCAAAACCTTACTATTATTTAGCGTGCCTTCGTATGCAAATTACAGAAATGCTACCCAAGACTAAACAGGAAGGGAATTTGCTAGCTTACATAACTGAACCTTTTCAGGGTTGGCGAATCCAGCATCAGGTACCTAGTTTCTCTCCATCTCCCAGCCCTGCTGTCCACAGTGGCTGCATACTGAGGTGGTCTCCCCTCATCGTCAAAGGCTGCTGTGAGCAGCAGTCAGGGCTATGTGCTGCTTTGATCACATCCAGCAGAAAAGAGCAAAGGTTGCTTCCAGGACACCTTCCAGAAGATGAAAATAGAACTTTCGCCAGAGGTCTCAACACTTATTTCATTGGCCTCTCACAGGTTTATGAGTAGGTCACCTGTTTATTTCTGAACCAATCCCTGGGAAGGAATATGAGACTATCCTTAAACCGGTGTTGTCCACCCTGAAGCCTAGTATGGGGTTAATTATCCTCTTAGGCACATGAACTGTGTCAGGGAAGAATGGATACCTTTAGGAGGGAAGAACAGGAAATGGATATTGGAAGGCAATCAAGAATGTCCGTTTTATTTGAAATCTTTGTGTCTTGTATTCCCTTCCCCTCATCTGTCTAAATATATTAGCTAATTCTGTTGCCATCTTTTTTTCCCTGAGTCAAAATTGAGCTTTCTGCTTCCAGTTTTAACCCTCCTTCGGTTTATTTCACATATCTAAACTGACCTTTTATTCCCTTTTTTCAAGAAACTACAGTGGCTGCCCTTTGCCTGCCAAATAGATTTTAAACTTTTAAAGCTTATTTGTCAGTGTTCTAATTTCATCCCACTTTCCCAAATGAAAGGAGCCCTGGTGGCACCATTGTTAAAGCGCTTGGCTGCTAACGAAAAGGTCAGCAATTCGAACCCACCAGCTTTTCCACGGGAGAAAGATGTGGCAGTTTGTTTCCATAATTTACAGCCTTGGCAACCCTGTGGGGCAGCTCTGCTGTGTCTTACAGGGTCGCTATGAGTCGGAATTGACTCGACAGCAACAGGTTTAGTATTCTTTTCCCCTAATGTGCCGTATGCCCTACTACCAGTTGTTTTAGTGCCCTTCCCCAATGCTTCCCCATGTAGATTATGCTAATCGCTGCCTGGTCTTCTCTCACAGACATATATACAGTACATCAGGTGGTATAAAATTCTAAACGATGTATCTGTATATATGTATTGCTATAATGTGTAACACTGTCTCATTCTATAAGGAGCCCTGGTGGCTCAGTGGTTAAGTGCTCGGCTGCTAACTGAAAGTTCGGCAGTTCGAACCTTTGCAGGAGAAAGATGTGGCAGTCTGCTTCCATAAAGATTATAGCCTTGGAAACCCTGTGGAGCTGTTCTACTCTGTCCTGTTGGCTCGCTATGAGTCGGAATTGACTCAGTGTCAATGAGTGGGTCTGTCTCATTCTATACCTTTTCTTTTCAACTAAACTATAAGTTCCTTGCTTTCAAGGACCACATATTATACTATCATTGTGGACTAGAGTCACCTAGTAGAGAGAGATAGGAAAAAAAAAAAAAACACAACAGCCTTACTAATTAGGTGGTTAATTGAAAAGAAAACACAGAATCGAACTGTTGCTAAATTCTGAAAATAATTGTGATAACGATTTTATCTAGACATTAAAAATTTAGCTCCACCCAATGTACAAAACAACTTCTGAAACACATAATTTCTAGAATACAATAAAGTGTATATGTAATTTTTTTTTTTTTTTACTGGAGACAGAACCATGATTTATAATAATAGCTGACTCTTCTATGGTGTTTGTTTTAAAGACACACTCTTCTAAGTGATTGCCTTACATTTAATCACTTAATCCTCACAGCAATACTTAAAGGTAGGTACCGTTATTTTTCCCATTTTACAGATAAGAAAACTGAGGTGCAGCCATAGTAGCTTAACTTACCATGGTCACCTGGTTAGCAAATAGTGGAGCTGGGATTAGAATTCAGGCAGTCCATGCTTTTAATCATAAGCAGTTGATATTTCAGTGATGGTTACTCTTGTAAATAAACACACACACAATCAATGACTGTCACTCCAAAAGGACATGCTTCATAGGGTGCAAAGATTTAAACAAACTGTAAAAAGTAGGCATAAAAAAATTGATCCTTCATACCTCACTATAATAAAGTGTTTCAAACTGTGAAGCATCCAGCAGTAATTTCAGCTATGTGAATGAAACTAAATTCTTAAATGATTGTGTGGCCTGTCTCACTGAGTGTAATTTCTGCCAGATGACCAAAAGCTGCCTCATAATCTTATATTATTTTTGAATAATAAAGAATTAATTCACTAATGTCTTGTGTTAAATAGCTTAAAGAGCCCTGTCAGATGTATGTAAATAATAGCCTTATGAGGGTCTTTCTTGCTTTCTTATATTAGCATGAGGATGTTATTGTTTCAACTTTATAAGTTGCAGTTTTCTTGAAATACAGGATGAGAGAGACAATTTACTGGCCTAAAATGATTTTTGAAGTGAGCAGAAATTATAGAAACAGATTAGAAAATGTATACCACAGTAAGATCTCATTTAATTTGATCGCATTGAAATTAATAGTTTTAAAAAAAGTTTCAAATTATGCAATGTAAATGATTAGTTTAATAACGTATGCTCTAAACATACTTCTAAGGCAAAGACAAAAAATGATTTCCTTCTTGGTTACCAATTTTTAGAGTCTAAAAATCTAGTACTTATTATGGAAGGTAAGCATTCCAGGAAGGATGATAGAGTGTCTGCTGTCTAGAAATTTTTTATGTCCCTCTTTGTGAGTTCACGTGTATCCAGGATCTCCTAAAGGCCTACCATATAGCCTAGAAGCAAATATGTACATTAGAGCAATCAAATTTTCCTGAAAGTGCATGAATATTTTGAGTCCTAATAAGAAGGAAAGGTCTTTGGGTGGTGTAAATGGTTTTTTTGCACTTGACTACTCACCTAAAGGTTGGTGGTTCTAACAATGCAGGTGTGCCGTGGAAGAAAGGCCTGGTGATCTGCTTCTGTAAAGATTACAGCCAAGAAAACCCTCTGGAGCCGTTATACTCTATAACACATGGCCGTTAGTCAGAATTGACTTGATGGCAGTGGTTTTTTTAGTATAAAGAAGGGAATTTTGTCCTCAATTTATCTTTAGCTGTGCTCAGATATACCCACTCTTCTGCTTGCTAGCTTGGTTTAAACATTTATTTAGGTTACAATTAAAGGCCTTGGAATGTTGTATATGTTTTAAAAAGGTGTTCATGTGTGTGTAACTGTGAGGAATGTATTTTAATCCAATCAAACTAATTTTGACAACTTTCAAGTTGTAACTCCTTTTTAGCAAAAAGAGTTTCCCGAGTCTTTTTAATTTAAAGTACTTGGAATAGAGTAGATTGGATGAATCTCTTAAGTGAAATGAGCCTTCATAATTATAATCTGTCACCTCTAATTAGTCTGATATTTTATGTAGTGTAATATATAGAAATGAAGATGTTTATTCTGGATTATGTGTATTATGTATATCCCTGAAAGGTCACATGATCATTAAATATAGTTAAAAAAATTTTTCTTTATGACTCAGAATCATTTATGAATATCAGTTATTGAACTACAACACATTAATATCCTCAGTTCAGCGGTTTAAACCCACCAGCCACTCTGCGGGAGAAAGATGTGACAATCTGCCCCGTAAAGATTACAGCCTTGGAAACTCCATGAGGCAGTTCTCCTCTGTCCTGTAGGGTCGCTATGAGTCGGAATTGGCTCCACAGCAATGGGTTACGATTCCTAGGTGCTGAATGGTTATGTTTTTAAGGCCATGTGTCTGCTCTTTATTGTTTTTGTCTTCTACCACTGAGCTGTTACTTAGTGCAGTATGTCTGACTTTAATCCTCATTTCTATACCCTCTCCAGATTTCCACGTGTAATCTGAGTAATTAGTACAAAAGCTCTCAGTGAGAGACTTCCATATTTGGAAAGTTCGTGAACATTAGAGTATTAAAAAAAAAAAAAAACCCAAACCCGTTGCCATCGAGTTGATTCCTACTTATAGCTTCCCTATAAAAGTGTTGTCATATGTGTCTATTGAGTTTTTTAGTTTTTGTTGTAGATTTTTGGTTCCCTGATTCTTCCTGTGTTGGAGAGTCAGAGGAGAAGAAGTAAAAGAAAAGTTTGTGTGCCTACTTTGTACCAAGCTTTGTTCTGGATAATTTAAATAATCTTACTTAATACTTATCTCACTAAACCTTCACAGCAATCTTATGGGTAGATATTATTTCCCCATTTTATTGATGAGGAAAATGAGGATGCAAAACTGATAAGAGACAGAATTTGTCTGATTTCAAATCTCATTCAGGTTTTCACTAAGCCAGGCTGCCAGGTTATGATCGCTAAATCATGACCGCTAAATCATAACGTGTTGCCTTTCCACTATCTTGTGTTTCTTGACATTGTTAGATGACTCAGTTCTGAATAAATTATGTAGGTGTTACCTTGTATAAGTCTCAGGTTTCTAGTCATATGAATAAAGGCGATTTTGAAGTAGGACTAGCTTAGGGAATGGCACCCTTTTAAAAAGTGGTGTGCAAAATTGTTCATTTCTAATGTTTTAATATAATGTGACATGTTGAATATGTATATTAATTTTAAATTTTTCTTAGAGGAAAAATGATGAGATATTCCCTCGACAGATAAGTGACAAGTGGATGATAAATGCTATACCCCTGGACCAGCTATTTTCGCTTCATAGCTCACCCACATCATGTTTATTTGGGTGTCAAGATGGTTAGTAGTAGGAAACTACCATCTTTTGTCTCTGATGTTACTCTGCTACCGTAATAATGGGCAAAACCACAAAAAGATTGATAGGATAGGTTTATAAACTAAGTATACGATATGGAATTGATAAAGTACAGTACGTAGTAAATAAATGGATGGCTCAAAAAGAAAACAAATAACATTTATTAGTTTATGAATATATGAACCAAACCAAACCAAATCCATTGCTGTCGAGTCAATTCCGACTCATAGCGACCCTATAGGACAGAGTGGAACTGCCCCATAGAGTTTCCAAGGAGCAGCTGGTTGATTCGAACTGCCAACCTTTCGGTTACCAGCCGAGCTCTTAACCACTATGCCACCAGGGCTCCATGAATATATGGGGAGTAGTTAATTCATTTTATTCTCATAGAAATTTTAAGTGACACACCTTCAGAGTAAACATTCACCAAGTGGACATTTAATTAATAAGAAAAAGACAAATTAACTCTTTAATAAAGAAATTTTAAAAACTTGATTTTAGGTATTATGAGTCATGTTGTTATTGCTATATTGCTATGATAATGAAGTTTTTCTGATCTTCCATTTTCAGTAGAAAGAAAAACTAAGTCAATTTTGAAAAAGACATTTTTTACATTAAAATTGTTAGATGGTCTCTTTGCCTTCTATTTAGTTTTTTTTGGAAAGTTTATCTTTCTTAGAAATAGATATCTTCTATACCCTACCCCACACATTTGATGACAGGAATTTTGCTGACCCATTCTTCTACAACTGAAAAGAAAACCGTTTTATGATTGTTTCAGATTCAGAGTACTGCCAAGAAACTAATTACCACACCTGATGAATCCCATCAAGATTCAGTGTTTGAGAATATGTTTCCAAAAGTCTAAATACTTCACTTAATTAGAAAATAATTGAAAACATCTTAGTCTCCCTGTATAGCCTTTTCTTCCTAATAAATTCTTGTACAAATGATTTTTCTATCAACGTATTTAAAAACTGAATGCTTTTCTGAGCTTTAGGGAAATATATATCATTTGAACTCACTCTTCACCATCTTGATAGTAGACATGGTTCTTTTCCTTCCTGAACAACAGAGTAGTTTAATCTTTACTTTTTTATTTTGCATTTGCACTAATAACACATACTTAAAACTTTCTAATTGTCATTTTCATGTGTATACCTTTATATATTTGTAAATGTATTTGTTTTTATGCCTCTATATTAGTTTTTATGGCAACAGAAGAATAGCAATACTGTTCTAGAGTGCTTGCTCCTTCTGTCACATTCTTAGTGATCTGAGATTTATAATTCAGCTTTCCTCTAAGGATTTTTGATATTCTGTGCACATTCTTCTATATGCAGATGTAAACTAATTTTTTTCAGGAGTTATTGACTGGCAAGTGAATTTTCTATTTTTAGCTTATTTCTTTCACACTGCTGCTTGGATTGCAGTGCTGCAAACAAACCATGTGTATTATCTTTAACCATTCTTTTATTCTTTATAAAATGTATCCACCTCTTTGAAAGAATCATACATCAGTACTATTATTTTATGTCATTCTGAAAGTAATGTCTCTGAATGTGATGGTGAAGAATGGTAAGTGAAACTGTTACTTCTAGAACATCACTTACATATTTGCTTCATATTTGTATCCTCACTTGAGTACCTGTTTCTTGGAGTTCTGCTTATATTCATAGATGTTTCATTTATCTCATCCTGATGACTTGATAAGGATATTCGTGCTTTTTCTGTCATTCTAGATGTATACATTGAACATGAATTTGTATCTGCCTTTGATTTCAATTCTTTTGTACTTTGATTTCTAGATCCAAGTTGGAAAAGATGTGGATCTAGCCATGCAAGGTCTATCTCTTAACTGCTTTGCTGTCCTTTTGCCATTGCTACTATTTAACTTGCATCTTCTACTTTTAATAGAGTACTACGTAGGTTTCAACAGATTCACATAAAGCATACTGTTTATAATCAAGATTCCTTCTTCTCCGTGACATTTATTCTCTGATGCAAACGCTATTGTTTTTCATCCAGACTGATCTGCCTTCTGATTCTTATGGAGTAATACAGATGGCTTTACTGGACTCCCTCAAGTGCTGGAAGCTTCCAAATATTTTGAATTTTCTCTTATTTTTCTCATTAGGGTGCAGCATAGATTCCAAGCAAGTTGAGGAACAGCCTGCAGCTGCAAATGAAGAAGTACTTTTTCCTCTCTGTAGGGAACCAAGTTATTTTGAAATCCCTACAAAAGAATTCCAGCAACCATCACAAATAACAGAGAGTACTATTCATGAAATCCCAACAAAAGACATACCAAGTCCCCATACAACAGGTGCAGGGCATGCTTCATTTACCATTGAATTTGATGACAGTACCCCAGGAAAGGTAACTATTAGAGACCATGTGACAAAATTTACTTCTGATCAGCGCCACAAGCCAAAGAAGTCCTCTCCTGGAACTCAAGACCTGCTGGGGATTCAAACAGGGATGATGGCACCAGAAAACAAAGTAGCTGACTGGCTAGCACAGAACAACCCTCCTCAGATGATATGGGAAAGAACAGAAGTGGATTCCAAAAGTATTAAAAGTGATGTTCCAGTTTACTTGAAAAGGTTGAAAGGTAAAGTGAATTGATCGTTTGAGAACTTCCTATTTTATGATAAAGAAAATTTACTCTTCACAGTGACAAAACAAAGTATTCGGTAGAAAACTTATACTTTTTCAAAGGCTTATATTTAATTTTAAAGCTTAAAAGAAAACCACGGTTCGTGTCCAACTTACTTATTCAAAATAGTCTTTCTTCATTTTCTTGCCAAGACCAGATTGGTTTTATAAATTTGTATATGTATCGTTAAATACGTTTTTTTTTCCTATAGAAATATGATTGGTTTAGTTCACTAGTAGAATTTCCTAGAAGATAATTCCCATCATTCTATTAATTTAAGGAAAAGATATATTCTGTTCTTCTCTATCATGATGATTCCAGTAAAATATCAATATTTAAAATTTGAAAAAAATTTTAAGCCACATGATATGGGCCCAAAGTTTCACTTTGGGAATGTAGTCACATTGTTGATAGAGTATTTCAAGCTGTTCTCATAGAACAGAGATTTTTGGTTTAGAGATTGTTACTAGGAATTGATTAATCTAATTTCAGTTTTTTTTGTGAAAGTCACAATTGAATGCTCATTTGTGAAATAATATATATCCTTTATTTAACACTTGACCAAAATAAGTAAATCTTCATACCTGTATATTGAGGTATCAGCTGATCATGTTTTTCCCCATTGATTTTGCCAAATAGGTTTGTTTTAGAATTAATTGACTACAGAGTTTGTGTTACTCTGTCTTACTTTTAACAAGCTATCTATAAGGAAAATGGTTTTGAGCAAATCGTGGTTGCATGCTAATCTGACCATTTTATTATACAAGTTGCTAATGGGCTTTAAAAAAAGTGCTTTGAGGTCAGACTGTGACTTATCTGATATCTCTAACACCTCACCTAGGACTTGTGCATCTGTTACATATTCAGTAATTTGAATGAATTGTGAATAACCTCACTATCAGTGACATCATCATCCCTGGTTTAACCAGCACTTTATACCCTTGGATTCTGATCAAGAGGAAATGGTACTCCTATGCATATTTTACATTAGTTAGATAGTGTGATTACTTAATTCTTTGTTGGGGCCTATTACTGTATTTAAAATGTAGTTACCAGCAATTAACTGGCATATGGTGATCTGCTTCCATAAAGATTATAGCCAGGAAACCCCTATGGGGCAGTTCTACTCTGTTACATGGGGTCACTGTGAGTCAAAAATGACTCGATGGCACACAGCAGCAACAACAAATGATCTTTTACTTCTGCTAGACAATATTAAATATGTAATTGAGACCTATATATGTATGCATAGGTTAAAGCACACAAATAAAAACTACCCATTTGTAAATTGACCACTTTTATGGATTTAATAAATAAATATTGATATTTTAGTATAATGTATGAGGCAGTGTCAACCTTCAAAATTTAGAAATAATTCAACTAGTCTTTTTTAAACCACTCTTAATATACAAAAAATGAGCTAAAAGAGCCTTTTAAAAGATATCTTTAAAAAGATACTTTTATTAAACTCTTTTATATTATAACTTCTTTATTCATTATAGCTACAGTGAAACATGTGAAACCTGTGAGAGCCAGAACTCAACGGGACTGCCTTTTTTTCCCCGTGTCTCACAAGTTTTCTGCCATTGACAGCGTGCAGTTTACCACTTTTCTATTGCTGTCTGTTAGTGGAAAACACAGTGATACCTGTGAGAGCTGGAACTCAACAGGACTGCCTTGTTTTTTCCGGGTCTTGCAAGTTTTCCGCCTTTGACAGGGTGCTACTGTATTTTCTATATGAGCGATTATTTTTAAGTAATGATTTTAAGATGGTCTCTGCTCTTGAACAAGGCCCGTTTGTGAGTCAGTGTGATTTCAAATGGCGGTATTAACGCCCACATGCGCTACTGTATGTATTCACTGTATTTTTACACAAATAACATGTACCTTCTTCGTTTGCCAACTGTGCCCTCCTCCCACGAGGAATTTTTGTAATGATTTGATATTTTAAAGACCTTGCCAGAAATATACTAGCAAATTACTATTATCCTTCAAAGCTGATTTATAGGTAGACATATATTCCAGTATATTGCCATTGCTTAAAGTTGGTTTAGAATCCTTCTTTTGGATTTGCCTTCAGAGCATTTTATAAGCCATCCAAGAAAATGCCTTTATGGGTATAACTCATTTTTGATGTAAGATAGATCCATTTTATTTCCACAGACATATTTACAAGTGACATTTGACTTTTTCCAAAAGTAAGACCTGCCGTTAGTAGATAAAGATTTTCTACAGTTTAGGATATCAAAAGTATATACCCACATACCCAGACTCCAAAAAATTGTAATTATAGTAAATAGTCACAATTTTATAATATTTAGACCAGTCAGAAACTTGAAAGTAGACAAAACAAAACAGAAGCAAAAAAACTTTGCTCCTACAAGAGTAAAGTGCACGCGCTTTGGGACAGTGAGGAAAATATTGTTCACAAAGCCCATACACTTCTACCCTTTAGGAGAGTTGCAGCTTCTTTTGGGCACAGCTATTGACATGGGGTTGCCATGAGTCGGAATCGACTCGATGGCAACTAACAACAATAACAGCAAGTGACTTGGCACAGCTAACCTACCCTTAAGAAAACACAGAACTTCAACGTACGTAGACTTAGTTAATGACAGAAAAAACGAAAAGAAAGAAACCTGGTGAGGGGAGTTTTCTAGAGATCTTTTTGTTGAGTGAAAACAGAAAATTAGTTTTCATCAGGTGTTTTACTTTGTATAATGCTGAGAAATATAATTTTCCAAAACAGAAAATGGCTATTTTCATTAAAGAAGATGATATTTTCATTAAAAAAAATTTGTGTATGTATGTATATTATTCTTATTAGGCAAGACTATAATTTTTAAATGTCATATGTCACATTTTTATACAAACAATACAAAAAGAAATACATATTGAGTTATTTTCAGATCTTAGTAACTAGGTACCTTTCCAGTATAGCCAATACAGTAATGAAATTTCTTGTAAAGTGTAATGTTTTTGATTAATTTTGCATTTGGTCTAATGGTTTTGTTTGCCATCTGCTGTGATCCCTAGCTTAATTCCCTGAGGCAAGGATACCCTTTATTGAACACCTGTTTTTCATTTCAGATTGCATTTTGAATAGTTACTAATTTGAAGAAAAATTTTCAGATTTGTGGTCATACCTGATTTTTATCATATTAATCACTATTGCTCTGCTAGAAGTGCTCCCCTAGCCTCCTTATTTTAGTCTTACTCCTGTTGTTTCCCTCGCCTATTACTTTTCCAAAACGCCACCCTTTGCTCTGTGCTATGCCATTCTCCTGAGTCTCATCGCTCCTTTTATACACATTTTTCTAATCAGTCATTTTGTGTCAAATTATTTAGCACCAATTGGTAAGCTCTAAATCCATTAGAAACAAACCCATGAGCATTAAAACTCAATTTTTTCCCTCCTAGACCCCTGTACCCTGAGTCTTTCAGCTCAAATCATCATCTTGTTCAGTGCCACATTATTCAGCAGGTGCTCAGATTAAAATTTGTAGCCCAGGGAAATCTGAAAATCAGATTTAGGCCCAGAAGCATTAGAATGTATGTGGTTGACTAGATTCATTTATAGCTTCTAAAGAAGCCACCACTTAAGCCCTGATTTGTGATAACGCTCTAAAACATATGTCGAATAAATCTTGACTTTCTATTAATTTCATACTGTGATAGTATAATAATCATCCTGTGATAATTTCTTTTAATGTGCTTGTTTATGTAATGAGAATTCTAAGTCAGTGAAAAATCAAGTAATTTTCATAAAGTTTCACATCTAATCACTAACAACTATGAAGGGTACCTAGTGGTTTTTACTGATTATGATATAGAAAAACCTCGGTTAGGAAGCTAATGTTTCAAAAACCAAATACATTCTAACTTGACTCTGTCTGTGTGCTTTATGGGGAGGACAGAAGTAGATTTTTTTAATTGGTTTTATTTAGCACTGTGCCATTTGCTCAGTAGGTGCTTAGCTTTATATAGTTATTTCACAAATTACTTTTCTTTGACAGGCCTTGTAGCATGCTTTATTTAACTCTGAAGCTACCAGAGTTTACAGCACAAAAATGCAAATTTTCAAAGCTCCAAAGACATTTGGAAAAAACTTCTGCAGTAATTGATGAGAGTTACAAATTTGAATCTTTGTATTGGAAAGGAATGATGTACTTTTGAAATTATCGAACATTATCGAAAGTTAAGATTCATCACATTTTTATTGCATTTGTAGCCTCTTTTCCTGTGTAACGATAAGCATTTTAGTGGGATCAAGCCTTTCCTGTCTCTCTTTCTCTCTAATGCTGGAGTCTTGATTGCTTAAATAAGGCAAAATTTGTAGTCAGGATAAATGTTTATTGATGTTATGAATACAAACTATCACAGATGATAATAGTATTGTTTATGTATTAAGGCATTGATGAGTCATTATAAAGTTAAAATTTGGAGAAAGAAAGGCAATTCTATTCAGTTGTTATAAAGGACCTCATTGTTGGTTGATAAAATTTGAATGTAAGCATTGCAATTGAGGGAAGTTTGCAGAGCCTGTTACTGAAAAGAACATATGACTCTGGATAGAAAAGAGAGAGAAGGGCAAAACAAATAGCACTTTTGTACATGCTTCTAATTTTCTACATGGGATTTTTTTTTCCTTGTCTATTATGTGATTTCTTTTTGTGTCCAGGAAATAAACATGATGATGGCACACAAAGTGATTCAGAGAATGCTGGGGCCCACAGGCGTTGTAGCAAACGGGCAACTCTTGAGGAACACTTAAGGCGCCACCATTCAGAACACAAAAAGCTACAGAAGGCCCAGGCTACTGAAAAGCATCAAGACCAAGCTGTTGTAAGTCAAACTGCTTTTATGATTGCATTTTTTGATGAAGACAATCCCAGAAAAAGACTGTCATATTCTTTTACTCAGAGTGCAGGAATCTCATGTCAGGAAACTATTTATTCAACACCACATACAAAACTTGAAAAAGCAAACTCTCCAACAGCAGATGCCAAAGTGGTTTCTTTGTCTTTACAGACTAGCTCTGCGCATCACAGAGGGGGGCATGGTGTTCCACATGGGAAATTGTTAAAACAGAAATCAGAGGAGCCATCGGTGTCAATACCCTTCCTACAAACTGCATTATTAAGAAGTTCAGGGAGTCTTGGGCACAGATCAAGCCAGGAGATGGATAAAATGTTAAAAAATCAAGCTACTTCTGCTACTTCTGAAAAGGATAATGATGATGACCAAAGTGACAAGGGTACTTATACCATTGAGTTAGAGAATCCCAACAGTGAGGAAGTGGAAGCAAGAAAAATGATTGACAAGGTAAATAATTGAAATTTGGACATGATGTTAGTTTTTGCATGGCATATTTGACTTTTGAAAATTATTGAGAGTCATCGTGAAGTGTCCTAATGCAGTCTGTAGTGTTGGAGCTTCAGAATTTTGGTAGACAATGGCAAGACTAACAAGAGCAAAATGCCTTCTGATTTTATTTTGCTTATCTTCTGAATTTTCCTGAGTTTCAGAATTAAAATCCTGTACATTTAAACTATTGTGATATTTAAAGTTGTGTAAATTTAAGATAAGATTTAGAAATAGTATTTTCACTTATTTAAACACTAAAAAAAAAAAACTATAAGCAAAAAATCAGATTGCTATGACTTTGTTATCGTAAACATAAATGTTAGCGGATAATAGCTAACCATAGGTTTTATGCCTTCTAATTTCATGTTGGAAGCAAATGAAAATGCATATGTTTAAATTAATTTTGTTGTTTGTCCTTTTTTTTTTCTTCTTAATTTCCATTCACTCTTGTCTTTTGTGATAGAAAAGAAGTATGAAAACCAAACCAGTTTATGATATTCTTAGCCAAGTATATGCCTAGTAATGATGTTTTTGTATATTTCAGATTTGTTCTTTGATATTGTTGGTTTATGTGTATAATAGTTGTTGTTTGGTTTAAAAAGTAGTTTCCCCCAATTTTTCCACAGCAATAGAAAGTTGACTTCAGAATCAGCTATTTAGTTCCCACCCCCTCCCTTGGAAATAGCAATATAAGTTTGACTGAACATTAATTTTTTTGTTTAAGTTCTTGTTATTCAAACATACTCAACCAGAATCTGCATTAAAAATAAGATGTCTAGTGATTCGTATACATAATAACATAATAATCTTTGAGATGCTGTAGTTTTTAGATTATGGATTTCCAAAGTGCTCTCTCAGGAAGTGGGCAAGATAACTCTTTGGGATGCAGGAAGAATGTTACCACTTACGTTTGCTTTTAATGTCATTTTTTATTTCTATTTTGGAGTGTGTTCTGTTTTACCGCATTGATATAACACGTATAATTTCTAAATATGTGTTTATTGAGGAGTGCATGCTCAAAATGTTTTACTGTTGAAGTGTATGACTCCAAACTTTTGGAGACCTATTAGTCTAGGAATAGATGTCATGTAATAAATACTGTTGTAGTGGTTGATAAGAAGAAATGCAGGATTTGAGAAAAATTAGATGAATAAAGCAAGTTTCCTGTTTATATTAAAGTCAAATGATGACACACTTTTGGCATAGAAAATGACCCTTGGTGATTTTGAATTATTTTCATCATTGTGAGTTGATAATGATATGTATTTCTTTTAGATCATCTTAAAATCCATAATTTTCTTTCACTGGTTTCAGAACAAGTATTTTGCTATTTTAAATATCGTCAGTTGGAAAATAAAAGGTTTTGGAAAAAAAGGGAATGGTAAGAGGTTTTAAAGTTCAGATTAGTATTAATTTTATTCTAACTATTATGCCCTTGTTTGGTTTATGGCTATTTTATTCATAATAATTGATGTGCTGTCTATTTTAAAAGATTATTTTACAGTGAGGGATTATAGTATTTAAGAACATGGACTTTTGCAAGCCGAAATCAAGTATAAGCTCTGCATATATTAAGTGTGTGCCCTTGGGTAAATTAATCTGCTTAAGCCTCAGGTTTTTTATCTGTAAAATGGGACAGATTTCACTTAGATTATTAAAAGAATTCAGTAAGTTAAGAGAAAAGGCTGATCACAATACCTAACTTATAATAACAGCTTTATAAATGTTAACTGTGTTTATTATTACCCTTGTAAGAAGTTTCTCTACATCAGTCTCTCCACAGGGTACTGACAAGTCCTTGAAAGTGCTTTTAATACTGAAAGGTCAAATATGAAACCCAGGGGGAAATTACAGTGCAAGGGACCACCAGCCAGGCCAGGACAGCAGAAAGCCAAGAAACAAGTCGTTGTTGCAGATGAGACTCTTTAGGAAACTCGTGGATAGACACCAAACGCAAACTAAACCTGGGTCGAGTCGATTATGACTCATGGTGACCCTATAGGACAGAGTAGAACTGCCCTATAGGGTTTCTAAGGAGCGGTGGGTGGGTTTGAACTACTGACCTTTTGGTTAACAGCCGAGCTCTTTAACCACTGCATCACCAGGACCTCCTGGATAGACAGGATGACCATAAAACCTGGTTCATACCTGTTGTCTGAGTGTGTAGTTATTAATAGCATCTCTTTTTTTTCCCTCAAAAAGAGTCCCTGTTTTAACAACAAAATATATGGGCACACAATGGATAGAGAAACCCGGGATTTTATAAAAGGATTCATTTAAGGGAGTAATAGTAGTATGCGGTTGGGTAGATAGCTCAGAATCATTCTTAGTTTGTATAAATCAAAAAACAAAGCTAGACCATAACTGTAGGGAAAAGCCAGGATCACTGCATTATCTTGTGAATGCCAAGGAAAAAGAGCTGAGATTTCCACTAGCTGTGGTTAAAGATAAAAGCCAAAAATTCAGGTTAACTAAAGTCAGTCTCTGGAGAAACAGAAACCGGAGAACCAGCGATCAAATGTCTGAAGAAGATGAAATACTCTGTGGGTGTGGAGAAAACAAAGGCCAAGAATAGCCAAAATCAAGGCATAAGAAGCCCTTTGGGAGGAAAGGAGCAGGTATAGGCATCATATCAAATTGCTTGGATGAGCTCTGTCATCCATATTCCTCCTTTTGAAGTTTGGATGTATGAGGTGGGATTGAGGCCGTCAGTTGTTGTCCATTTGAATTTAAATGTTATTTGGTCCTGAAAATTTGCATGTGATCTAATTCTTTCCTTTTTCACTCCATCATTGGAGAGCTGGTTTATTTCCTTGATTCATTCACTTAGCAACTTTTATTCATCATCAGCTATGTGCCAGGCTTTGTGTTTAGGAGTTGTTGTTGTTGTTAGGTGCCGTCAAGTCTGTTCTGTCTCACTGGGATCCATGTGACAGAGTAGAACTACCCCATAAGGTTTTCTAGGCTGTAATGATTGTGGGAGCAGATCGCCAGGTCTTTTCTCTTGCAGAGTCACTGGGTGAGTTTGAATCATCAACCTTTCAGTTAGCAGCCAAGCGAGCTCTTAACCATTTCACCACTAGGGCAGATGCAAATTGAAAAGACAGAATTCTTCCCTTCAAGAATTAGGATGGCAATGTACAAGTAAAAATAGATAAATTAAAAATAGTGTAGTAATGCTTTGACAGACATAAGATGTTAGAGGAAGAGTACCAGTAGCTTCCAAGAGGGGATGTCAGTGTAAACATCCCTTCCTGATAGAATTCTTTAGCCATCCAACCTAAAGAAGCCCCAGAGTCACTATCAGATCAACTTGTTTCATTTTAATCACAGCCCTTATCATCACTTGATAGTTTGCTGTTTATTTTCACTCCCTCCACCTCACACACACACACACACACACACACACACACACACACACGAATATAACTTGATTGTACCCTATTCATGACTGCAGGAACCTAGTACGTGGCATAGTGACATATAAAATATGCTCAATAAATATTTAATTGCTACCTGAGTTAGTTTTAAAATGTGTACAATTAATCACATAACAGGCATGGTATAGGGTAGCGTTTTCCAAAAACACAGAAGTACAAGAGGGAGCAGGGCTTGTTCAGAGGGCCACAATTACTTTTGGAGAGATGAAATCAGTTTAGATATTGAAGCCTTGTATAAGGCACTTTAGATTTTTTATGCTGAAGGTAGTGTGGTTTGTTTTAGGGCAGTGGCATAATCAAATCACTGTGAAGTATGAAGAATGAATTATAAATCAGAAAGGCCAGCAGTAGAGAAGGCACTTAGAAAGGTGCTGATGTGTCCCATACTCAGTAGTTGGATATAGAAGGCTGGATCTTAGGTAAGAGATCTAGGGTGGAAATAGAGACTTGAGAATTATTAGAGAATAGGAGATGGGTGAGTGCAAAAATAAGAGAGGAGACCATCTAAGGAGAATATATAGAGTGAAAAGAGAGAAAAGATGAAATTCTTAGCAACAAAATTTATAGGATAGACAAAAGAATAAGAATGAAGAGAGACTGAGAAAGATCATACAGGGGAGTAAGAGAAAATAGAGTCTTGTAATCAAAAGCAGAGTCAAAAAAAGACAAATCGAGAGTAAGTAACAGTACCAAATGATACACAGATGTAAGATAAGCACTGAATACCTTATCACGTTTTCCCCAAAATACATTATATTCCCGAGTCTAAAGAAGAGCAGAATGTATATTTGTATCTTAACTTGGGAGTAGTTGCAAATAAAATAGCATCTCTGTAAAGATATGACCAAGCTGAAATGCCGTATCCTCGTTTTTCTGTGCTGATAGAAGTTAATAGGTGCTGAGATGTCTTAGTTATCTAGTGCTGCTCTAACAGAAGTACTACAAGAGGATGGCTTTAGCAAACAGAAATTTATTTTCTCATGGTTTAGGATGCTAGAAGTATGAATTCAGGGCGCCAGCTCGAGAGGAAGACTTTTGTTCTCTGTTGGCTCTGGGGGAAGGTCCTTGTCTCTTCAGCTTCTATTTCCTGGTTCCTTGAATATATCCATGTGTCTTGGCATCTGTGTTCCCCCATCTCTGCTTGCTTAATCTGCTTCTTTTATATTTTGTAAGAGATTGATTCAGGACACACCCTACACTAATCCTGCCTCATTAACATAACAAAGACAACCCATTCTCAAATGAGATTATAACCACAGGCATAAAGGTTAGGATTTACAAAACATATTTTTGGGGGATGAATTTCAGTCCATAACATGAGCTATCCCAACACCCCCAAATTATATAATTATAGCATTTTGGTTCATGTTTTTGTCCTGTGTGACTCTTAGTAGGTAACCTTATTTTATGTATTGTCCTAAGATTCACCTTTTATACTGTTAACACAATGCCTGGTGATACTTATTAAGACCAATAAGCTTAGATATACAATTTAGTATATCTAAGCTTACACTGAGG